TAAGAGAGCTGTCAAGATTGCTGTTTGGGAAAATATTTTAGAAGGTCTCAAATCAAACTGCATAATCAGCACTCATGTTTTATGCAAATGAGAAGGTGTATTCTACACTGTATCACGGGGACTAATCATCCAGAGTCCACTGCTCAGAGAAGGCACCTGCCATCCAAAATTTAGAACAAGAACTCACAGCCCATGAAGTGGTACAGCACCACAGATTAGACTTGTTATAAATTTATAATGATTTCATATAAAAACATTACATTTTAATAGTTTCAAGAAATAACAAGGTAGGGCTGGCATAAATGTTTCACTAGCATTGTCTCATATTTCACACTTTGTTTATTTCATTACTGGCTATGCTGAAATGAAACAGCTAGCTTAAAAATGTCATCAAACTCAAAACAGAAAACTTAGGAACAAGTACTCTATACAAGCCATTTTTCTAGCTGGAGGATATTCCACAGCCTCTCACAAATAAACACACCCAGATATTTCGTTTAACTATTAGGTAATTTTTCCTCATAGCCAATTTAAATTGCTTGTCATTCTGACATTGAGGACATGAAAAATAGTTAAAAATGTGTTTCCACAATTGAGAACACCATGGACAAGTCCTGTCCCCTGTGTTCTCCATGCCAAACTGCTCTTTGACTCTTCTGTGACTTTATGTTTTTCTATAAAGAGAAACATTCAAAGGAAAAAAAAGCATCAAGTCTTAGTATGAGATTGAGATGTGACAGTCACTGGGATAATTTAGACACAAGCTGAGACCTGAAGCTACCTGGCAGGAATACATCTGATTTGTCACTGTCAATGGGTGTCATCTATTTCCCTGTCCCTTGACATTCTCTCCTGTTTCCAATGCTTTGAGATCCTTAATGTTCTTTTCTGATACAATCTACCAGGTCTGAGGACATGGTATCCCAAATTACAGTACCAAAAACTGTAACCTTAACATCCATGAAAGGTAGAATAATCAGACATAAACTCCATGCCTACCAGAGCAACAAGGCACTTGTGGGACAGTATAGATAATGGCTCCTTTTTCTGGGATTTGTAACATTCTCAGTCATTTCTATAATGCTTCAATTGTTTTCCCTAAAGGTCATATGCTAATTATGCAACCCGAAGGTAAAAATCAAGATTTAATTTTGCTAAGATAATACACGTTCCTCTGACCTGGTCCACATAGCAGATAGGACCAGGGTGGAAGGTCAGGTGAAGCCCATCAGAGCTGGGAGTCCAGCAATAGCTTCAAGTGACAGGGCATGTCCTGGCTAGGAGACCAGGCAGGAGCAGGAGGCAGGGGAGGGGGCATCCCAGGAAGTGAGGTGAAAGCAGAATGGAGCCTAACAGTGCAGGCAGCAGCTGACACACCCTCTTCTACTCTTGGAGAAGTGGAACTCTGAGGGGTGAATGAGGGCCCAAGGCCCATGTGCTGGGGAAGGACAGTAGCAGTACGAGGTGACGGCTATAAGCAGGAATCTTGGGTGGACAGCACCTTGAAAGTCTAAGCAACTTTCATGCCTCAGGCATCCCGGGCAACCAACCAACAGTGTTGGACTCGTGGCATAGGAATCATTTTCTTTGGGAATGAAAGGAATGGTGACCCTAAAAGCTTGGAGGATGGAGGGACATTTGGATAAACATCTGACTTTCATAGGAACCATGAGGCTGATGCTGTGGTCTCCAGTTGATTGATAAAGAAATGTTTAGTTAGGAAGTTATGTGACTTGTCCAAGCTTTCCCATTGTGGAGCTAGGACTTAAACTTAGCCCTAACTCGAGCACGTGGCCTTGTCATGAAAGAGAGGGTAAGGGCATAAGTAGTAGTTTGTAGCTGACCATGAGAATGCACTGTGAAGTGTGGGCAGAAGGCTCTTCTGATCACGGGATACTCTGAGTGCTGGGCTAGCAGGAACGCCATTCCCTTATGGTTCACATGGCATCTCCTTCCCTCATATCAAGTTCTCAGAGTTGGGCACCAAGAGCTACAGCTAAACAAGTACAGCCAAGCACCTCCTGAGCCTGGAAATGTCACCTATTTTGCTCATCACTGTCAATTCCCAGCACAGAGGCTGGCATGGAGCAGGGCTCGTGTGTTCATTGAATGCATTCATGAATGATCATGGCTCAGGTAAAGGTCTCCTGACTGCCAACCCAACACCCCACCTAATTCTTCCTCCTTAGGCTGTACCTTTGGAGACACTGATTTGATGAGTGCCCATTTAATTAGGTCTCCTGTGGTAGGTGTTAATGGCAGATTCAAAGATGAATAAAAATAATACAACTAACACTTAACTTAGCACCTACCATGTGCTGGGCACCATAAAAGCAGTTATCTGACCCTCCCAAAAACATTGTCTAAGGCTGGTACTATTAGAAGCCTGTTATATAGATGAGGAAAGTGGGCATCTAGACAGGCAAAGTAAGCTGTTATATTTGCTGCAGCCATGTTTAAACCTGGCTATCTTGGCTCCAGAGCCCATGCTGTTCAGTTACACCACACTGCCTCTTACCATCTCCAAGCGCAGGGCATTTGGAACAAACACCATGAGCAGTGGCTATGAAGATGACCGTGGCTTGAGTTCACTCAGGGAGGTGTAGGCGCAACTGTCCAAAGACCACTCATTTCATTACACAAACCACAAGTTTGTAAATTCTGGATGCTAGAGCGAGGATGCAGATAAAAATGAACAACTTGCTTGTGTTCACAGTGCTTTCAATGTCAGCGGGGCAGATAAAAATAGAAAGAAAATAAGTAATTACACAAAATTCCATAAGACAATGAGCACAATGGGGGGAAGGCAGAGGCAGAGCAAGAGGCACCTTGCTCCCAAGGGCTGGTCAGGGAAGTCCTCTCCACCTGAGTGACACTCCAGTGAAGACCTGAAGGAATTAAAGAAGGAAGGTGTGTGGAATGTGGAAGAATCTTCCAGAAAGAAGGTATAGCACATACATAGACCTTGAGATATAAGCATGTGTGTCTAGGTTGAAGTGAGCAAAAAAGAAAAATGGTAGTAGGAAGCTGAAGACTGAGAACTGATGGCTCCCCAGTTATGGGCACACAAGCAGCTGGACAACAGACTGGTGGGCAGTGAGTCTAGACAGCTCTCCCAGAGAGTTTTATGTATGTGCTGGGGAGTGGGGAGATGGCAGAGAGTACAGGTCAAGATGGGAAACTATCATCAACACACTGCATTCTGATGGGAAAGATCCAGAAAGGGTGCCTTGACCATGCAGGGGCACACTGACCATGCAGGGCAGAGAAGGGGGAGCTCCACTAGGGGTCATCCTGGTATATGAGGGAGAAGCCTACCTGGTACAGTGCAGAGGGCTCTGCCACCATGAAATGTGAAGTGGAGTCATCATCTAAGAGAGATGAAGATGGGCATGGACAGTTTTTAAAAGACTTTATGGGCTGGGCATGGTGGTATATGCCCATAATCTCAGCTACTCAGGAGGAGGAGATTGAGAAGATTGTGCTTGGTGGCCAGCCTTGACAAAAAGTCAGTGAGACTCCATCAACAAACAAGCATGGCACTACAAACTATGGTGGTATGTGCCTATAAACCCAGCTACTCAGAGGCATAAATAGGAGGATCACTGTCCAGGCCATTCAGGGCAAAAACAAAAGAGATCCTATGTGAAAAATAACTAAAGCAAAAGGGCTGGAGGTATGATTCAAGTGGTAGAGTACCGACCTAGCAAGAGCACCCTGAATTCAAATCCCAATGACATTAGAAAAAAATTAATTAATTAGAAAGCTGAAAACTTAGAATTGATTGACAGCAAGCTCTGACTTGATGAGACAGTGCTCAAAAAAAGTAGGTAAGATAAGTACCGGTTACTTACCCTGTTCTTGAAAAGTGCTTTCAGACATAAACTCATCTTTTCCTGGGGGCATATCTGTCATGGGCCACCCACTGTGGACGCAAGGAACTCTCTTCAGAACTTGTAAGACTCCATAAAGCTGTTTAGAAGCTCAAAACCTGTACTGTTAAAGATACATTGCTACAGGGGTAGGTTTTTTTTTTTTTTTTACAGCATTACTAGGAGATACGTCTTCGTATCCTAATACAATTAACTAGGACATTTTTATTGACATTTTAAAGCTGCATTTTATTGGGTGGTGGGTCACACATGTGTTTGTTATTGCTAATATTTATGTGAGTGTGAACTCTTCATAAATGATAAAATGCAGCATTCTCCTCAAATTTTGACACAGATTTGCATTAAATGCAGGTTTCTACCATAAAATAAGTAGAGACTCTAATGTTTTGATGTTTCTAGGGAAAATGGCTATTTTTGTACTTATATTATTATAAAGTAAGAGCTTTAGCATGCTTACAACACAAATAATTGAATAAGCCTAGATTTGAGTGGCTGGATCTTCAGAGAGGAGCTCTAAACAGTAAAACAAAGCTTAATTGGTGTTGAGAGGTTTTGCTGGTAGTCACATCCTCTTGCATTCTAGTTTCCTGAGAGTCCCATTCATCATAGGCCTCAGTTAACCAGAACAGCCCACATCTCAGTGGTGTCAGACAGCAGGGTTAACTAGAGCAAGATAGGCCACTCTAGCGAGTTCACTGAAGGTGTGAAAGCACAGACCAGAGGCTCAAAGAACATGGGGAACGCACCCTCTCCAGAGCAGTGTGGACTGCAGTACACAGAAACTTGCTAGGTATCATGGTACTAAATAATTTGGTTTTTTTTTTTTTTTTCAGAAAAGATCATTTTAAGAGAAAAGACAGAATTGTGACCCAATTAGAGGATGACACTTTCAAGCTATTTGTAGGCAGAGATAGGTTTAATAACATTCAAATCAGCAGCATGCTTCTAAAAACAGAACCCTGAGGGGTTTTGCCAATTCTTCAGTATTTGGGGGTAAATATGAGACAATTACCAAAACAGTAACTCTGAAGAGTCACTCTATTGACAGCTGGTGATAATAACTGGAGAAGCACTTAGCAGTAGAGAACATTCCAGCTTCACAACAGCTCAGAGGTTTGGAGATCCAGGCACCGAGAGAGCAGAGCCCTGCTGGGCTGCTCTGTTCCTGGAAGGTTTCTGTGCCATGATGCAGTCTTCAGTGTAATTCTCTGCAGCTGTGTCCTGGACATTCTCCAGCCTTTGTAATGGTAATGGAGAAAGCAAGTGACACAGCCCATCCCCAGGATGCCCCAGAGCCACAGATGAGACAACACCAGAGGCTCCAGCTCTTGGTGGCCATGCAATTAAGCCTAACAAGGCACAAGAAGCTCTCTAGGGGGCACAAAGAGATGCCCACAGTAATTGGCAACAGGCCTCTGGTTCCCCAGGGGCTGAGGATTATGTATTGGCAGCAGAGAAGGCCAAGGAAGGGTCAAGACCTTGAGGGAGGCCAGCTGGGATCACCTGTCTTCATGCATAAGTCATGAGCAGCTCTGTTGACTGCTCTGAGCTCTCCTGAACAAGACACAGGAAGACTGATCCCCAGAGTGCAAAAGCAGGCACCAGAGCCCTCTGTGCTGCCACCCCAAGATCACTGCCCCATGTTTCTCTATGGCTCCAGTAAAGCTGACTTCAAGCTCTGGTTCTTGCAAAGGAAAGCAATAAAAATAGGTGCATTGCATGGTGTGTGTTCTAGATCACCTGTCACTGAACCTTTCAGAGCTGGTGGGAGTCACTGATAGGAAGGGTGTGTGCAGGAAGATAAATGGACCTTTACTGAGGAAGCAAGAAAGGTGAGGGCTTGTAATCTGGCATGACACATGCCTGGTCTTGCATTTATGAAGATAAATGCCATTGACAAAGTCTGTATCATGTACATGTACCTATGTATGTGTTTGTCTTCAGCTAATGGCCTTTTCTACTTCATGCTCGTTGATAGATAACATACACGACTATCTCCTTTAGTCCTCCCATAAGGACCCTACAGGTAAATTGCATTCAGCTGTGAGATGGTAAGTGGCATGCCCAAGGGAAGATAAGGGACAGAAAGGACATCTAAGTCTCTTCTCTGTCACTGGTAACTGACTGTCTACAAAGGCTTACTGAGTACTTCTCCACTCCCACTTCCTGGTCTTTGCCCCTAAACTAATGGACTTGCAACCCCAGTCCACTTACCCCACACCAGCCCCATGCTGGGCCCCTTGCACACCTTACTGCATTGTTAGCACTTTCATAGGTGCATGGTTTAATTTGAACAGATAAGAAAATTCTTGTACATTTGGCTAGCCTGTCTCATAGGTTCACTAAATAACATTCTCTTCCTGATAGCTCAAAGACCATAAACAGGTATGTCAATTTTGGATATCATTAGCATTTTCAAATAAAAGAAAAAGTGGGCAATAAAAAGAGGTTCTTATTAGCTCCACAAACAAAGAGAAACAACCATTTATGTTAAGTATGGGGTGGGATGGTTTCTTATTTGCATATTACAGTATTCAAAATTTAAGGTACCTCCCCAGAAAATGTACTTCTGGGAGTAATATTATATACCTTTTGTTTTAAACAATACAAAACACTCATATTTATTTGATATAAAGAAACACAGATGACTTACAAAGGTCCTACTTATGATTTTTCTACTTCATGACTGTATAAAAGTTATCAAATTTCAACAGAAACCATATTTGAAAGTTTAAACCTTAATCCTTTCCTAGGGAAGTGGTATGTGCCACTGTACTCTCTAGAGAGCTGTGCGGCTGGCCATGGTGAGGTGAAGCAGCCGGCCCTTTGCAGTGCCCTTTGGTGCTAAGTTACAACATTCAGTAGGTGAGGTGTGTTAAACGCAGTTGTGACCTATGATAGCTTCAGCTTACAATGGATTCATCCTCCAGAAGTCCAGGAGCATCTGTACATGATGATATCCAGCTTAGCCCATCTTTGGAAACTATGCACATGCACACTCTTATCTATGTATTTGTGTACATACACATGTAATTACTGTATGTATCATACACTTACTATATATGTCTATCACACGTGTACATCTCCATGCTTATTTTACAATGTATTAATTTCTCATTCTATATGTTTATGTACTGTATAAGAAGTAAATAGTATAAATTTATGCAAATACACACATGCTAATTGCCCTCGTGTGGTGACTTGGAGAAAGGTCCACATGACACAGCTCAGAGTCCTGGCCCTTTACTCTATGCTAGGAGGGTATTTAATTTTGGTGGTTCAAAATAAATACTGTGGTGCTAACATACTATTCCCATAACATACTGTTTCCATAAGATTTCTTGCACCCACTTATCACAATTCTTAACATGTCTTATCTTTAACACGCCTTACTCTTCAAATTGATTTTATAATAATTCACTTGGGATTTTATTTTGAGAGTTTATTCTGTTATTCAGTCCCTCCTCAGGGTTTTAAAATTTGAATGAGGGGGAGAGGAATAAAGGAGAATGATGGAGGAGGTAAATTTAACTAAGATATATTATAAGCACTTTTGTAAATGTTACAATGTACCCCCAGTAAAACAATGTAATAATAAAAATAAAATCTGAAAGTCATGTTTTGTTTTATGGATGCAACAATCTTTCAAGTTTTCATGAAGATACTAATCAGATTTTTTGGGAATGTCTTGTTTCTTACAATGTTATCTTTGTGTTTTTCTGTGGCCGCTGGCTTTTCTGGTTCTGTAATGACTCTTTGGCTCTGGGTCTTCCTCAAATGTCCAACAATTCCTCCTTCTCTGTTCATGGCCATAAGTGAAGATCGATAGGAGTGAGTCCTGGTGGCCTGATGAGCTACCTCCGTAATTTGGGATCTGGCTTTGACTTCCTTAGGGATCTCCTCTTAAGAAGACACTAAGGAGCAGTGAGTGAAGAGTGAATGAGGACTGGACTCTGGGAGGAACAGGCATGGAGGGCTGAGAGTCTCACTAGTGGACAGCAGTGACCCTGGGGGCTAGGGCAACCAGGAGAGAATCCAGTAACTCTTGCGCCTCCCCCACACCCGCCCAGAGTACTGTAGGGAAGGCGCTGTGTCAAGCGGCTCCCAGGGTGGGAAAGGGTCTAGGACTCCCCTTCCTAGCCCCTGCTGTCCAGAGGCCAGACTCTCATGGAGCTCACAGTATACCTGCTTCTCCTGCTTCTTGCCTGTGCTGGCCTGAGACACAGGCCAGGCCAACTCTGCCTTCTCAGAATTGCTCATATTAGGCTTCTGTTATTGATACCCTTTCCTGTTTTCAGTGAGATTGTATGTTTTAATTATTTCTTATAATAACCTTGATCATGTCAAGGAATTTTGGGAGACAAGCAAGGTCAACACATGACCTTTTCACTATTGTGATTTAAAATCTCAATTTATTTAGAAATATATGTTTATATTTATATAAACAAATATGTATACATTATATATATGTATATATATGTAGGAGTATGTGCATGTGTCTAGAAAGAGATAAACCAAACTATTACCTATGGTAATCTACAGGCAATAGTTTGAAAATAACATTATTTTCTTCTTTTGTTTCCTCCTGTATTTCCCAAGTTACCTACCATTTCTTTAAAAATAATATTTTGGTGTTATAATTTGTTAAAAACAAATTCACATACCAAAAAATTCACCATTTTAAAGTATACAACTTAAACATATTCACAGTTTTGCAACCATCACCACCATCAATTTAGAACACTTCACTACCCCAAAAGAAACCCTTAGTAGTCCCCTCTCTTTCCCTCTCTCCTTATCTCCTGGCATCCAGTCTTGTGGTGGCTCTGCAGACTCTGTAGTTCTTTAACCTATCCACTGTCTCCTCTGGACATTTCATATAAATGGAATCATACCATATGCTGTATACAGCTTACTGCTCCAAGGTCTACCTGTGTTACACCATGTGTTGCTGCTTCATTCCTTTCTATGATCGGCTACTATTCCAATAAAGTACCACATTTTATTCATTCATTCATTAACTGATGAATATTTGGATTGTTTCTACTTTTTGGCTTTTAAGAACAATAAATTGCTATGAACTTAATGTGCAAATGGTATATTCCTTTTGTAATTAAACAGACTTCTTAAAAATTATGAAATTATTTTTTAAAAAACATACTAAAAGTCAAACTTTTTGCTAATTTAGACTGGTATTTCTCCTATAACTCAAAAGCACATGGTGTAATTACACTCTTAACACCCGTCTAATAACTGCTAATAATTAGATACAATAAATTAAATGGGAATAACTGGTAGTCAACTAGTCAATCCAATTTCCTTTTCAACATACTGAGGATCTACTGATATTTGTTAACAACTTGTATTAACCATCAGTGAAAAACAGTAGGCCTTCCTTTTCAGAATACTATCTTAGAGTATATTTCATTCTTTTACATGCAATATTCAGAAAATAATACTTTGTGTGAATTAAAACCTGCCCAGGCTGTGAAAAGAGAAAAACAATCTATTTTGCCACCCACTCACACAGTGCAACCCTTTGGAAGGGATCATTTCCATTAGATTTTCATCAGGGACTGGCAAAGAAAAGTGTATCATGTTATTATAGAGCTGGAAAGGTAATGACTTCCAGGTTGCTAAGCAACACCCCAATGTTAAAGGGCCCAGTATCTGTGATCTCCAGAGACACTCAAATTTCATTAAAACCTCTTCATAACCATTACACAAAAGGCCCATGTGGCGTTTATAAAAAGGCTTAGGTTCTTGACATAATAATGAAGAAATTAAAACAAAACAAGTGACATCAAAACTTTTGTGGTAGTTAAAATATAATATTTTGGAGACTAATAAAATCTACAAGGTTTCTCAAAACAAAACAAGTACTATTAGTTTATAGTCAATAAAAGTTATTTAGTATCCTGAAAAAAATTATACTGTGAGACTTTCTTTGAAGAAGGGATAAATATGTTCTGTGCATGAATCAAAAAGGAAGACAAGGATAATTTGAAATGAGAGTCCAGTCATTGTTTGCTTTAAGGAGGGTCACAAAATAGGAACTAACTTTCAGAAACACTCCCCAAACACGTCCCCAAGCAATGGCACTAGAGAAAGCTGATCCCCAAAAAGAAGAACACCCTGACACATTGCATTACCAGCTCGTTGTCGGTCGCTGGGATACAGGTCCAGGTTGCTCTGCCCACCTGCCTTATGTGTCAGTGAGCCTGATCACTCTGCAGCATATGGCAGGCCCCTAGTCTCTTCCTCTCCTCTCCTCTCCTCTCATTTCCTCAGTGTTCTCAGTAGAAGTGATAGAAGGAGAGCAAGTGGTTAGTTCAGCCTTGCTTATCAACCAATATATATATATATTTTAA